TTTGTGTATTATTTGGTGTCCATATCTTATTTGTCCAGAGAAAAGAAAATTTGGCTTTGTTAATTGGTTGGTGCCCGCCACGATCTCATAAACTCTCAAATGTGCCCGTAGGCACAAAAAGGTTGGGGATCACTGCTCTACAACCCATTGTGGGTCTTGGCAACCCCCTTTCGGAGGTTTCTTAGTCTTTGAAGTGTGCATTTGTGAGTAGTGAGTGACCAGCCCACTGACTGTGCACAATTTATACTCAATCCTGATTTGACTGCGAGATTTTCCCAATCTTTCTAATGCGAAATTATGAAACACAACACACTTAACTGTGCTGTGACACACTTCCTGTACTTGATAAGTTTGGTTAATGGGTTAGCTGATTACAGACTGTTGTTGCAGTGCCCAATGTGAGTTTCACAGTATATGCTCCCAGTTTCCTAGAGAGGTTCTTTGAGTCTCATGCTGTTATGTTCCAAGGCAATGCAGGTCTTAAACCCAAGGAAGGAGAGGTGACATCAAGACCTTGGCAGTGGCCTGTCAACTACCGGGTAATGTAGCATAAAATAACTTAAGGTGAAGAAGCCAGAGGTGTATGTGAATTGATATTAAATAATCAAGGATGTTGACAAAAGGGAAAAGATTCAAGGCAAATTGGTGAAGCATAATATGAATTCATTTAAACTGAAGTGCATATTTCTTGGCCACATCCTATTGAAATTAAAGAGGTTTTACTGTGATTTCCTTGCACTTACATACTCACATGATTTTTATATTTACAGGGTCAATTTTTCTCTGGCAATAGTTACCGGATATATCTCCTTGGGAATCCAGTGATCTGGTGGGGTAATGTGGTGTTTTTAGCCACATTTCTCATAATTTTTGCTTGCAACTCTGTAAGAGAACAGAGAGGTTATCATGATCTTCCATCAGTTAAAGGTCAGTTACAGATTAAATACAATGTTTTCAGTGTATTAATTGTTGATAATAAAGTCAGTGATACAATTATAAATATTTTTAGCATATCATTAGGGTGATAAAGTGAAAGAAAATTGAGATGGTCAGGACCCTTATATCACATTTTGCATTTTTGATTTTCTATATTTATTTGTGTAATATTTCATGTCACTTTCAAAATCCACAGTTTCCTCTTTATTCACCATTTTTACAGTTACATGTTTGAAACATCTTGGTTTTTAGTGCTGAACATTTGATGTAATTGTCTCATATATTGGCTTCACAATGTTAGTTCTGTTGTTTCTCTTGTAAGAGAAGCCATGTTGTTATATGGTATCTATGTACTTTGCAGAATTTTGTTCTTAGACAATGGATTGTACATAATTTGAAAAATGGAATGGACAGCACAAAATGATCTTGCAGTGCATGACCTAAAAGTTTGTTATGAAATATAACTTAATGATCTATCCACTGTGGTTTAATTTTCATGCTTCTGTCTGCTTGTTTGTTTGAGTAACGAGTTTCTGAACTAGTCATTGGCTTCAAAACTGTTAATGATACACATGGCAAAGGCATATTGATATAATTCCTGTCCTAAATGTATTTAGTACATTAGGAATATTAATAAAACAATTACATGCAATATTAAATGTTATTTACAATTTTGTAACCTGTGATTTGTTGCAGAGAGCAAGCACAGAATGTCTAGTGCTTGTGGCTGGCTCTTCCTGGGATGGGCTTTACATTATGTTCCATTTTGGGCAATGGGCAGAGTTCTGTATTTCCATCATTACTTCCCAGCTCTACTTTTCAGTTCCATGTTAACAGGTGAACATACAGCCAGTTTTTCGCCCCTTATAATACCAGAATTTCATGATACCTACAAAGCATCTCTTGGTATATAAAATTAATTTTATTCTGTATGAAATGAAAAATTCTGATTCGTATAACCAGAAACAGTACACAGTAGAAGCATACAGGTTTAATTGTCATGCAGGTAACCCAAAAATCATGAAGCATAACTCTCCATGACTCATTCAAGATTACTGGAATCCTGTTTGAATTTATGCACATAACCTTGGGCAGCTTCTGTCTTAATGTGTTTTTTTAAGTTATATGGGTATAAAATGTGGTCTGTCACTCCAGGGGAAGAACACAGATTGAAGGCATTTTATAACAGGATACTGAAGAGAATGTTTGCATCTATGTGAAAGAAAATAACAGGATGCAGAAAATTACACAAGAAGCTTCATAATTTGTATTACCAAACACTGTATTTATCAAAAGGAGAGTGGGGTATGTGGTATGCATGGAGAAGAGAAATTCACATAAAATTTCAGTTGGAAAACCTGACATATGGAACTTGTGAAACAATTATGTGTTTGCAGGAATAATCTTGAACTACATGCTCGAGAGCATTCCTCAGTTTCTACCAGAGAGGCTTGCCAGCAGCACATACCACTGGTTCATAGGTGTTATTTTCTCTGTAACTATTTACAGGTAATAGATGAAACCTATATAAGTTCAGAGTTCCCTTCTGAAATTCAATTATATTTTAAGGTCGCATGTAATGTCTTTAAGATTTGTACCCCAATATGGTCACTTCAGCTGTGTTATAAACAGATATAAAACTGCCACTTTATTATTCAGATATAACTTTTTTCTGTATAATTTCCATTCCCACCAGCTTTCAGTGTAGATATGACATTCAGAATGTAAGATTTGAGGTTTTCACAGCGGTGAGTATGAAGATTTCTGTCTTCTGGGTTGTTGCGCTGTGTAGTCTGGTAGATGTTTACCAACGTTTCAGAGGTCATACTGCCTCCATCATCAAGGCGATGAATCAGAAGCAGTATGACCTCTGAAACATTGGTAAACATCGACGAGACTACACAGCACAACAACCCAGAAGACAGAAATCTTCTTGACATTCAGAACTTTTATAATGCACTTTTTCTTCATTATAGCTTCTACCTCTTTTCACCACTGACATATGGAATGTCAGGACCATCAGCGTCTGATCCCAACAGCACGATGTATGGCCTCAGATGGATGGAATCATGGGAGTTCTAAGTATTTAATTTGTAAAATTCAGAACTATTTTTTAATTTATATTAAAATTGGAATAATATGTTATTTCATCCTGTTGCCTATTTTGTGAACTGGTAATGGGTTCTTGTGAATATAGTAATGAATCTTTGGGTTCCATAAAAGTTGGTAAGGGATTGCATTCTCTCGTCCTCTCTCTCTCTACACACACTTTGTTTCATTTTGTGTAAGAAGCCAAAAGGCATACTTTTGTTGAACATAAGTGTATTATATACTATGTCATTGATACCTTACTACATTTCCTATCATCCATGTTGTATGTACAGTTAACTGTTTACAGACAACACCTGAATATAATGGAACAAGTACAAACAAGAAAATAAACTGTATGAGTTTGTATACTAAATCATAGGCAAGCTGCGGTTTGTAAGGTGAAATTTGAAGGTCTGATACAATTATACGTATGATTTACACAAGGAAACTCATTATGTAACTGTGAATTTAATTTGGACTAAATCTGTATATGTGATTGATAGTCTGTGGACATAATATATTTTTATATTTTTAGAAAATACTGTCTGGTTTTTATGTACCCATATTTTTAATACAAGGGGAAAGGAATTCTTGTGCATGTCAACATCAGTATGAGTTTACCCTTTAATAAATATTCATTGCACTTCTCACTGGTGTTCCTGGAAAATTATTTGTACAGGAACTTGTTTATGGACAATATATTATACAGCCCAGAAAGATGTAAAGGAGTCCCAAATGAGTAGCAGTTTGTATGTAGACTTTTGTAAAATGAAAATAAATTCACAACATACTGGAACCACCACATGAATGTAAGGATGGCATTTAAGTAGGACAGATTTTATATTGCACATGCCAATTCTTAATATCAACCTTAACATGTGCATCATGGCTTATACAGTCATATTGGCCATGTGTCACTATCATTAAACCTGCCTGGCATTAAAATCTAGTCAGCAGTACTGTTGTCCAGATTCTGAATACCTATTATTGTGACAATAAGTTCTGTCCCTTACTTAACATACTTCTGGATATTTAGTTCAAGCTGCACTTAAAATGACGGATTTACAGCCCCCAACTACCTTCAATGACCAAACAAAGTGTACATCAGTGTTGACCTTAACGTTAATAAATTAACTCAAACTCGACATTCATATCAATATCAAATTGTCATTCTTATTATTTACAGTAGGGGAAAAAATTATGGGATAAAAAACTTAATTTGCGTGGACACTGCAAAAATAATGAATATATGCTTACTATATGCAAGAAAATATTAAAAATACATTATAGGAAGTATGTATTTGAGGAAACATGATTCAGGTAACAGAATAATTATGGACATTTATTTTGGCACATTATGCTCCAGTACAAAAATATTCACATCATTGCACCATCTGAATAAACATGAATATATACCATATATAATGAATTATTCATAATGTTGCAATGATTACTTTATACTCTCAATTTACCACATTAATCCAATTTAATGTACTTCACAGAAAAATCTCCCTACTCCATTACATAAATGTGAAATACACACTTAATTATCTGCAGTTGTTTCCAATTTATAAATTATAAAATTATAAAAGTTTGTGGAAGTGATGTAGAACCACACATCATACAAATTATGTAAAAGAAATAAAACTATTTCCACGAAGTAGACAGAAATAAGAAAAGGATGAAAAGTCAGCCTTTGGGTTACTGAAAGTGAGGTATGAAAAGGAACATATTAAAAAAATAAATTTCTACATAATCCATGTCCACGTCAGAACAGTAACACTACTGAGGTTATCTTAAAAGATTAAATGAAGAGTACTTTATTGACCAAAGTTTTAAGATGTTATTAGAACAATGTACATATTTATCTAAAATTAAATCTATGACACACTTCAATGCACCTCATGGCAAATAACATACCTGGAAAATAAATTATTTGCAGTCAAAGATACATATGAAAATAACAGCTATCAAATCTACAACATGATGAGGTGCACTAGTAACTACTTCTTTATGTACCTTGGCAAAGAAAGGATATAATCTACGATTTTGTTATACATACCATCATCTCCTCACCGACAGAACACAGATGGTGATGTCATTGAATTATGTGTTACATTCATGTACTTACTAAAACAGAAAGTTCTGCAAAACTAATCATTTATATAGCAATGCCATTTACAAAATCATGTACTTACTTCATAATTCTTTAAATTATGATATACAGAAAATAAACCATAATGGACTTTTAAATATGAGATATAAATTAAATCAATCCAATCAATCACACATACCATTAAGCATTCTCATGACTGTTGAACCACATTTAGGCTATTTAAGATGGTGCTTGGAAGTTGAAGAGCATCTTTAAGTCATCCAAAGAAAGTTTGTTTGCTCCATGACGCTTTGTACCTGTTAACACACTGGTGGCAAGGGCCATTTTGTGTGTCTGCAATTTTTTAATTTGTTGTTCAATAGTCTCTTCAGAGATGAATCTATAAAAAATAACAATAATGAAAGCTTTATACACTGAAGACTACAGTTGAACAGTTGGCACTCCTGCTCTGTATCTGGGAGGCCCCGGGGTCAAATTCAGGTCCACTGACCACCTACCCTGATGGAGAATTTTCATGGTGTTCCTCAGTCCCTCCAGACAAATGCCAGGATAGTATCTTAAATTAGGCCATAGTTGCTTCATTCCATATCCTTTCCAATTCATTATACATTAATTATTCTACCATTCAATGCTATACAGTCTAGGCTACTGACAGTGTCATAAAATAAATCTCAAATAAATATATTAAAAAATCCAGAAATTAACCACAAAGAAGGGTGTTCATAAAGTGAACCAAATGTATATATACAAAACTGACTCAGTATTCTAAGAGGGCTGTACTGCATACCCCAGAAAATCTTAACCACATTATTCTAAATTAATATCACACTTGAATTTTAACATTACTTGTATATGTGAACAGATTTTTTCTGCCCAACACGATATATTCTGTCAAATGCCTGGGCTTCCAGTTGTGGATTCCAGTGAGGGTCAAGAAGGAATAGATGGTTTCCTCCAATGAGATTGAGACCCACACCTCCAGCAGTCAAGGAGAGCAGCAAAATCTGAAACGAGAGTTACATTAATATATTTCTACTGCTATATAACCTTTATTGTATGGGAATACAGTATCTGAATCTGTCCTATGAGGCTGACAGCTGGACTTTAACAAAAGGGTTAATGATTTAGCAGAATTGTACTGTAATGTGCAACCAGTTGGACTGCATGGATGATAGAAGTTAAAGAACTATTATGTTGGAAAATTTCCCAGCTTAACAGCCCACAATAAAGACTAAGAATACTAACTTATTTAGTAAGTAAGCCATATTTGACCATCCCCATGTGATATTTCCAGTTTCAAAATTAAAGGCACTCACCATGGGTTTTTGTAATGAATTATTGAACTGATCCACCAAGGCCATGCGCTCTTTGACTGGTACAGAACCAGTAAGTATCAAGCATTTGACATGGTTTTTCTTCAGGTGTTGATGCACCAAGTCCAGCATTGTGGTGAACTGTGACACAATGACAGCATTGTCTCCTTTGTCTATAACTTTTTCTTCAAGTTCATTGAACAAGGCACGCATCTAAAAACAAAAATCATTCTGTGAACAACCAACGATATACATGCAGACTACAGTAGGGCCCCGCTTTATGGCGATCCGCTAATACGGCGCTCAACAGCTGAGTCAGAGAAGTGCATCTGGCGCCATTTTCTCGTCGCTGATTCAGTCTGTTTACAGCTTTTGTGCGCTCTGCGTCTCTCTGTATTTCTGGCAATTTTTCAAAGTTATTACAAACTGTATATTTATGTAATATTTTTGTGTTACTACAGTGTAATTACAATGGCGTCTAAGGGTAGTAGCGATAAAAAGAGGAGTCGTTAGCCTCTTACTTTAAATGCCAAGTTAGAGATGATTAAACTTCGTGAACAAGGC